TTTAGGTGTTTATCCTCAAAAAAATGGGGGAAAATGGGTTAATGGAAGCCCCGGGGAAGGAGCAGGGGAGCGGCTCCTCCCTCAGCATGGGGCAGGGATTGTGGGCAGAGGTACTCAGGGCACCGGAGGAGGCGGGAAATTAGGGAGAGAGGACGGAAAATAGCCGTGGAAATGAGCCGGGAGCCAAAAATACAGCGGCTGAAAGGGGCCTGGCGAGAAGAGAGGGGGGATTGCAGGATGTGGGAACTTCTGCGGGGGGGGAAAAACTGCCACTAATCCTGATTGCTCCAAGCACCTCTGCAGGGACGTCTCCTCCTTCCCAGCGACCCCAGCAGAGCCCACCCCGGCCCCGTGCTCCTCTCCTTCCCCGCTGGAGCCGCAGATCCATCCCCAGAGTGAGGGATGGACCGCTCACATCATCATCCGCGCTGCGTTTTCCTCCCATCCATCTCACTCTTTCGAGCCGTCCTCGCTCCGCAATTTCCCCCCCCCCCGAAAAGAGGAGGAGATCGATGCCTCTCTTTCCGATTCCAGCCGGGCAGAGGGAAGGAGGGAGCCCGGGGAGAGGCAGGGGAGGCTTTTTTTGCCTCCCCCAGCACACGGCTGGTCGGGTATCGATCCCTCCCTGGGAAACGCCGCAGCCTGTGCCCGACCCTGACCTCCCCCTCACCCCGCCAAGGCCAAAAAACGCTCGGTTTCCAGGCCCTCGGAGGTACAAAAAAGGGAGTTTCTGCACCGGGGAAGGCAGGACAGATAAAAAACCGGATAAAAGACAAAAACCTGCTTGTCTGAGGCCACGCTGGGGTCTGGCACTGCTGGGCCTGCTCTGGCAGCAGAGGGGATTCCATTATTATTATTATTATTATTATTATTGTATTATATTATATTTTATTATTATTATTATCATCATCAGAGGCAGGGGCTGAATGACATTTGTGTCACTGGAGGGTCCGGGCTCCAGGAGCCCCCAAGTGCTGCTCTCCCAAACTCCCTCCTGGGTAACAGGTGATTTTTCCAGAGGGAATCCAGAGCAGAGCTGGTTTTTCCACCCGGATCGATGGATCCAAGAGTTATGGACTGTCAGGACAACGGGCAGAGCCAAGACAAACACACACCTCTCCCTGCCTCGCTTATTACTTTAAAGCCTTTTATTATCATTATTACGGGCGATTAAAAATCCCATTAATCAGATGCTAAACAGATTAAAGCCCCGTGAATTAATTTGCGGGGAATAACTAAGACAAACATTCTGGGGGCAGAGCTCGTTTAATGAAATAGAAGCTGTTTATCTGCAAAATTAGGGCTGGGGCGGAGCTGGAAAAATCCAGCCCCGTGTGGGCCCAGCCTGGAGCCAAGGCCCATTTTTTACCCGTCCTAAGTAAAAGAAGGATCCTGCCCCGAGTCATTTATCATACGTTGCACAAAGAGCTCGTTAGCCAGGGCTGGAAAATAAAATTACAGCCGGGGAGGGAATAATTCCGTGATTTAGAGGTCGAGGAGGGGAGGCTGAAGGACGGAGGCCTTGGCATCACCACGTGCTTCCCAACCCAGTATCCAACCCCCAGAGCATCACAGGGATGAGAGGAGCTCTCTTGGAATCCAGAAATTACCCATGGAATTACTATTCCTTGTGTCTGTTTCAATAAACGAGTGTGTTTATTATTATTGCTGAAAGTTCCATGTTTGCTTAAGAAATAGAACATTTTAGCAGCCAAGGAGGCTCTGACGACCAGGGCCGGGCAGGAATAATCCAATTCCCTCGGCCGAGCAGGGCAAGGGTCCTCCTTAGGAGGTCAAAGCACAATTAGAACTTTAATTAATGGAATCGGTGGAGCCTCCCCCGGCAGCAGCAGTTTATTTTCCCCGGGAGTCTCTCACACTCCCCTCGCTCCCCCAAACGCATCCATTTATCCCGGGGGCTGTTTGCTCGCAGGGGTCGAACGCCGAGGGGAGGAAGAGGGTTTAAACCCTCCAGGAGCCCCCGTGCTGGCACCGAAAGGGCTGATCCCGACTCTGGCGTGCCGGGGAGGCTCCCGATAAGTGGATCCACATGCAATATTCATGGCCGGCTCCAGAATAGTTACAGATCCATCACGCTTGGCAGCGGGGCTTAAGCACCTTTTTGAGCCGGAGCCCCGAGGAGGGACGAGCCGGGGCCCCGCTTTTCCCTTTAAAACTCACCTCCCACCCCCAGGGAAGCCCTGGAAAGCCTTTTGTGGGATCTGTGGCTGCGGGGTATCCCCGGGCACCCCATGATCCCGCTGCTCCTGCCCCAGGAGCCCGGCCCGGAGCTTAATTCCCTCGCTCCGGGAAAGGTTTGTTTACCAGCTCCAAACCCTTCCTCATCCCCCCGGGATTAATTTTTACACAATCGTTCCGCTGCCCGCCATAATCGCTCCATAAAAAAAACCCAAAAAAATGAAGAGATTTGGGATTAGGGCCTAAAGACGAGGAGTAATCCGCGGGCACACCACTAATCGCTCCCAACTCTTCCCAGCTTTTAGCCTTTTCATTAGGATTTTCCAGCCGGGGCCCCGGGGTTATTCCCGTTGTTTCCCGCTCGGGGTTTAATTCCCGCACATTCCTGGAGCTGCCAGGGGAGCGAGGGCTCTGGGGACGAGGGAAAACACGGCACGTTTTCCATCCCGTTGCGTCCAGCAAAGCGTTTTCCCCAAATATAATTAAAATAAGGGATGCAGCGCCAGAGGGGGTTTTAAAACAAAACGACGTCAGCACTTAGAAAAGGGCTCTCGGGCAGACTTTGGGTACTTATGTTCCAAATAATTGTCCCAGGAAACCCGATTCAGCAGCCGCCAGCCCGGGCTGAGAGCACTTAGGCACCGGTTCAACAAAAGCATTTAGAGAGCCCGGCGCTGCCTCAGCAGGAACCTCGGGGCTCCGGCCGGGAGTGACTCAGGGAAACCGCGGGACCGGCGGCTCGCACGGATCCTTCCCGGCCCCTGTGGCTCTAAAGGTTTGGGGTGCAGGGGGTTCTGGAGTTCCAGGAGCTGCGGGTGCTCCCTCCTCGCCGCCTTGCCCCGGGAAAGGGTTTGCAATTTGCTCCTGGGGATAAATTCAGGGATCTCCACACCCCAAGCACCCGGTTTTAAAGGGACTTGAAAACCAAGCCCTGGGGATAAATTCAGGGATCTCCACACCCCAGCACCTGGTTTTAAAGGGACTTGAAAACCAAGCCCTGGGAATAAATTCAGGGATCTCCACACCCCAGCACCCGGTTTTAAAGGGACTTGAAAACCACTCGGAGCACATCAGGCTTGGATACCCCAAAAGGAGGGAGGGAAACGGCACAGAGGGTCTGGAAAAGGCGGATTTCAGCAGGGGGAAACCTTCAAAGCACAACTTTCTTGTCCCATTTCCACAAGCCAAAAAGAGGGAACCTTTCCTAAGTGCCCAGCGATTCTTGATCCCAATTTCTTTTCTGTGGTGTGGCCGTGCCTCTCCTCACCAAATCCTCACCCAATCGGGGTGCCCAGCCCAGCAGCTCCTCCTGAGCTGCCCACAGCCCCTCAGGGTGCCCAGCACTCCCGAGCTGCCCACAGCCCCTCACGGAGGCGAGGCAGCTCCAGGCTGTCAATTAGGGGAAAATCAATGGGAGATGCTGCTCAGGACTCCTTCTCCCCGTTCGGCACGGATGAGATCCTTCACTTTCTAGCACTGATTCATTTACTGGCGGCCTCTCCAGGGGGCTCCTGCTGACATATTGCTCGCTGGGAGGAAGCTGAAGCGAGAGCTGCCTTTGTTTCCACCGCTGCAACTTGTTGGCTGCGGAGGGGGGTTCAGGAGAGAGGTTGAGGGTTGGAATATTTCCTACCGAGACACCTTTCCCAGGTGCTCCCAACCCTGGTTTATCCTGGGAAGGCTGGGACTTCGCCAGGACAACAGGCACACAAAAACCTGTCTCAACCAGCCCTTATATCCTCCATTCCCAGCCTTTCCTCTCTCTCCCCACCAAAGCCACAGGAGTGGGATGCAGACCCCGGGTGGAACTCCCACCGCAGGCCATGACACCAACCCCAGCCCTGTGTTCCTGCTCTTCAAAGGGAGCCTGGGTGCATGTAGGATATAGCCCAGAGCAAGGACGGGGCTACAAAGACCGGATTTATTATTTATAAGGCGCCGCAGTGAACTCGGGGCTGGCTGGGGGGGGGCAGAGCTTTGTGAGGGGAAAAATGGAGTTTGAAAGAAGGTGCAGCGTGCAGGAGTCACGGCCAGGAGGGACGTTCCTCACCTCAGAAGTCTCTTGGAGTTCACGTGGAATTTGCTGGGTGATTTAGGGGCTGGTTTAATGAACCTTGCCCCAGACATCGGGTTTTTAAAGAACCGAGCCAGCACTGGTTCTGCCCTGCCCAGCACGGGGTCCTGCAGCCCCGGGTGTGCCATCTGTGAGCTGTGGTGGCACGGGGAAATGTGTCACAGGGGGCTGGGGACATGGAACACCCACCCGGACACAGTCACAGCGTCCCCAGCAGCTCCCCATGGCCGAGCCCTACACACACCCAGAGGGTTTGGGGGATCCTTGCTGCCAGTCTGAGCCCCACACCGGCCACCCCAGGCTTTTGGGGGATGGCTGCAGAGCACCCCAAGGCAGCGGGAAGGGTGCCCTGGGCACCCCGGGCTTGCCGGGGGCACACTGGGGGGGTGTCAGGGTGGGCACACTGGGGGGGTGTCAGGGTGGGCACACTTGGCTCGGGCACCGGGCCCTGCTGGGAGGAGACCCTGGGACTGCCGGGGAGGGAAACCTGGGGGTGCCGGGGGGACCCTGGGGCTGCTGGGGGGACTCTGGGGCTGCCGGGGAGGGAAACCTGGGGGTGCCGGGGGGACTCTGGGGCTGCCGGGGGGAGCCCCGGGGCTGTCGGGTGCGTTCTCCGCGGTTGCGGGGGGGCCGCGCCGGGGCCGGGGGCGGGCGGGGGGGAATCTCGGCGGCGGCGGCGCCGGGGCCGGGGCTGCCTCTCCCGGCTGCCATTTCAGCGCTCCATCCCTCCATTTTCCCTCGGAGCGCGGCCCGGCCCCGGCCCCCGCCGCCGCCCCCCATGTAAGCGCCGCGGCCGCCCCGCACCCGCCCCAAGGCGCGGGGCCGCCTCCGGCATGCGGAGCTGCAAGATGGTGCGGGTGGCCAGCGTGCTGGGGCTCGTCATGCTCAGCGTCGCGCTGCTCATCCTCTCCCTCATCAGCTACGTCTCGCTCAAGAAGGACAACATCTTCGGGGCGCCCCGCGCCGCCGGCCCCGCCGGGCCCCGCATGTACATGTTCCACGCGGGGTTCAGGTGAGCGCGGCCCGGGATGCTCGGCATGGCTCGGGATGCCCGGGATGGCGGCTCCCGGTCCCACCGCAGCGGGGGATGCGGAGCTCCGGCCGCGCCCTGGGAGCGGGAGGGACCGGGGGAGCGGGGATGGAGCGCCGGGCGTGGGAACCGCAGCGCCGGGGATGCGGAGGGGCGGGAGGGCTCCGGCACCTCGGAGCGGCCCGGGGCGAGTGGGAACGGGTCGGTACAGCCCGGTACGGGTCGGTACAGCCCGGTACGGGTCGGTACAGCCCGGTACGGGTCGGTAGAGGCCGGTAGGGCCCCGTCCGGCCCGGTGCGGCCGCAGGCGGGCGGGGAGCGGCGGGCGCTGTCCGCGGTGCTGATGGCGGCGGCGGCGGGGGCGGGTCGGGCACGGCGGGTACCGGGCGGCGGGTCCGTGTGTGTGTCGTGTGTGTGTTCGGGTGTGTCGAGTGGGTGTCCCCGCGTGTGCCGTGCGTGGGTCGGTGCCCGTGCGCCCTTTTCCCCAGGTCCCAGTTCGCGCTGAAGTTCCTGGACCCCTCGTTCGTGCCCATCACCAACTCGCTGAGCCAGGAGCTGCAGGAGAAGCCCTCCAGGTGGGCCTTCAACCGGAGCGCCTTCGCCCAGCAGAGGTGAGCGAGCCCCCCCCGGGATTTTAGGGAATGCGCTCAGGGACCGCTGGAAACCCCGAGCTCCGAGGGATTTGCCGGCGGCGAGAGACAAAGGCTGAATCAGAGCGTTTCCCCAGGCGGCTGCAGCTCCCCTGGAAGGCTCGATTATTTCAGAGCAGGACACGCGTTATTGGGCCAGGACGCGACCCAGTTTCCTGGGTGGGGGATTTAAAGTGTCGTTCCTCCGGGGGTTCGCACTGGAAGCACGCAGGGCTGGAGCAGCCGTGAAGTGCCATGTTCATGGAGGCCAAAACACGCCCAGGGAAAGTTCCCAGCTGCCGGCGGCTCTGAGCAAGTGCAGTGCTCGCTCCTGCCTCCGGCTCCGCTCCGGCTGCGGGGGCGGGCGCACGGCTTTGTGCTCTTTATCTACGTGCTGATGGCAGAGATTTAACTTTTCGAGAGATGAAAATAGAGCCATTTACCCATTTAAGGCAGCTACTGCCATCCTGGAGGGTAATTCTGCCCTGACAAACGCCCGCTGCTTCGGGGGCCACCTCACAACTCACATATGCCACCCCAGGAGCCAAAATCCAGGCCTCTCATCTCTGATGGGGCTGCTGCGCCCCTCGGGGCAGGGTTTGGGCTCCTCTCCTCCCTTCAGGTAGCTCTCCGAGCCCAGCAGGACAAATCACTCCCTTCCAGTGCCACCATATGCTGCCCGCTGCCCTCAGGAGCGCAGAGAGGAGGTGGCACTGTGCCCGTGCCAGCTTCTCCCTGGGACATCCCAGGCCGTGTGACAGTTGCTGCATCCCTGGCACCACCAGCTCCATCAGCCTGTCCCTGTGCCACCCCCCCGGTGATTTTTAGCTGCTGCCTCCGGAGCTGCCTTTGCACTTGTCCGGCAGCCAGAGCCCATAATTAGGGCACCCAGAGGGACTCCATTAATGCTCAGACATCGGAGGAGGAGAGCTGGAGGAAAGGCCTTGTTTGTTTTCCATAAACACGGGCAAATAAAGCGGTGTTGGGTTTCTAATTTTATGCCCTGCGAGGGAAATTCCCGAGCAGGGTTGGTTTTGTTTGCTTTGTAAGCCTCCCTAATAACCCTCGTAAAGCTCGCCCGGATGAGACATTAAGGAACTATATTTGCATAGATGGAGACAGAGGTTTTGTGATTCAAAGCTTGTTAATTGAGAGCAGAAAGACATTTATAAATTGGCTCCTGTTAATTCAGCTGGATATCCGGGATTTGCTTGGAGTACCTAGAGGCAAACCTGGCTGCACCAGGAATGATGTGGAGCCACAGAGCCCCAGCAGAAACCTGCCCACCGTGTCCCAGCACAAACAGGACAATGTCACACACTCCCCATGAGCTGTACCCTTGACTTACACAGACAATCCAATGTTTTAATCCCGACACAATTCCAAGAGGCACAGACACAGTCGGTGCCAGTCAGAACCAGCCCCTCATTCCCAGCTATTTATATTAATTTAAAAGCCACTGCCACAGCAAAAAGGAGGGTCTATAACTCGGTGTTTTCTGCTCTCAGGCAGGAAATCCTCCAGCACGTGGACGTCATCAAGAACTTCTCCCTGACCAAGAGCAGCGTCCGCATCGGGCAGCTGATGCACTACGACTACTCCAGCCACAAGTACGTCTTCTCCATCAGCAACAACTTCAGGTCTCTGCTCCCCGACGTGTCTCCCATCCTGAACAAGCACTACAACATCTGCGCCGTGGTGGGCAACAGCGGGATCCTCACCGGGAGCCAGTGCGGGCAGGAGATCGATAAATCCGATTTCGTCTTCCGCTGCAACTTCGCCCCCACCGAGGCTTTCCAGAAAGACGTGGGCAGGAAAACCAACCTCACCACCTTCAACCCCAGCATCCTGGAGAAGTACTACAACAACCTCCTGACCATCCAGGACCGCAACAACTTCTTCCTGAGCCTGAAGAAGCTCGACGGGGCCATCCTTTGGATCCCGGCCTTCTTCTTCCACACGTCGGCCACGGTGACGAGGACGCTGGTCGACTTCTTCGTCGAGCACCGGGGGCAGCTGAAGGTGCAGCTGGCTTGGCCGGGGAACATCATGCAGCACGTTAACAGGTGGGTGGGTTTGATGCAGCAGAGTCAGAACTAGTTTTGGGAGCAGCGGCAGCTTTGTCGTTGCCTCGGCGCGTCCTTTGGTTCTTTCTGGATGCTGACACACCTTCCTTTTTTCCCCAGGTACTGGCGGAACAAGCACCTGTCGCCCAAGCGGCTGAGCACGGGCATCCTCATGTACACCCTGGCCTCGGCCGTCTGCGAGGAGATCCACCTGTACGGCTTCTGGCCCTTCGGCTTCGACCCCAACACGCGGGAGGACCTCCCGTACCACTACTACGACAAGAAGGGCACCAAGTTCACCACCAAGTGGCAGGAGTCCCACCAGCTGCCCGCCGAGTTCCAGCTGCTCTACAGGATGCACGGCGAGGGGCTGGCCAAGCTCACCCTGTCGCACTGTGCCTAAAAGGACCCACAGCTCCAAGTGCCAAATGATTGTCTCAAAAAAAAAAAAAAAAAGAAGTGCCCGAAGCCGGAAATGAAACGGTCTCCAGAGAGAATCCTAAAAAAAAAAAGGAAAAAAGGAAACAAACCCGCCCTAAAAAAAAAAACAAACCTTTTCCACGATGTAAAGATGCTTTTTAGCCGCCGCCCTGCCGGGGGGTCTCAGCTTTATTTAGCTTTTTCTCGCGTTCCGTGGGTGCCATTTGTGCAGCAGCAGCAGCAGCAAAGCGGAGATATTTTGCATTTCTAGAGGAGCCACTCAGTATGTTTTAAGAGCTCTTTCATATTTTAGCATCCCGCTCAAAAACCTCTTGGTTTTATCGTTCCTTCCCCCATTAGGACTAGATTTTAAAAAAGGTTTCGCTTCTTTTGTCTCTGTTGCTCTCGATAGCTCGGTGTTGACTGGGAATTCCGGTGCCTCCTCCGCGTGGATCCAGAGTTCCACCGCTCGGGTATTTTCCTATTTCCTGAATTTTACATTTTTTAAAGATTAACAAGAAGAAGAAGAAGAAGGTCACGACGCAGTGGATCCTGGCAGCCCCATCCTGCTGCCAAAGGGATGGGGGCCAAGGACCCCCCTCAGGGCGTGTACATAGGGTTGGAAATGCGTGTTCCCTTCCTCCTTTCACACGTCCTGGGCGTGGATTTTCGTCGCTTGCATCTGCTCAGAGAAGGCTCATGAAAACAGGCCGGGTTTACTCGTGGAGTGAACCAAAAACCAAGTGTTTGTGACACAGAACTGACTGTGAACAGGGAAAAAGCAGGTTTTCTGTGAGTGAATGTGTCTTTATTCCGATGCCTGAGGGAGTCGTTTTCGATAAAAAAATAGAAATATTTAAGAAAAAAGAAAAAAAAAAAGAAGAAGAAAACGCCATAATTGTAATAAAGGTTCCGTAATTAATGGCCATACTTTAAAAAGCATTGTTTATTTCGAAATGGCTGATGTTCACAGGGGGCCGGGGTGGTGGGAAGGACACTGGTGTCCAGCCTCACACCCCTGGAGAGCCTCGTGAGCGGGACTGGGGGCACTGGGGTGTCCCCAGGCACGTCCTGCCCTGGCTCCTCTCGTGCCCCTGCGGTGTGCTGTGCCTGCAGCGTCCACTCATGTGCCATAACCCGATCTTGAATGCGTTGTTTTTAAATAAAAATGGTTTCTTGTGCATTGGGAGTCCGTAAAACTCCACTGTGTCCACTTCTTCCTTATTGTGATTTCCTGAACTGCTCACGGCCACCGATGGGTTTTACTGGAAAAATTCACCAAAGGTGTTGCTGAATGTTCTCTATATTTTAGAGAGAGGCCACACTCGCCTCTCTTTCCCCAAATCAACCGCAACTTTTGCTTCCCTTTAGGGAGGACAAAAAGATTTCACGCATAACTTGCCCCGAACAAAGGCACCTCACGCCGGGGCTTTCTTTTCCTTCTGTCTTTCTTTTTCCTTCTCCACCGCGGGCAGGAGTAGCTGGGGTGGGGAGAGCTTCCCTTTAGTGCCAAAAAGCAGCTTGGGAAAGCCCCGTGAGCTCCAGGGACACACAGCGTGGAGGGAAACGGGTCCAGTGTGTAGGGAACGGGGTGCTGACACACACAACCTGTTTGTGAGGACATTCCAGGCACCCTGGAGAGCGGCCTGGGAACTGATGGTCCTAAAGGTGACATTTCTCCCTGTTTCCCCCCCATTTTGTCGCCGGAAAGATGCAGTGGAGGTGGGACCTTGACAAACACAGAGATGGTTATCGGGGCTGAGATAAGGATGACACAAAACACAAGGACACGGCTGCTGCCGCCACTGCCTTACTGATTAAAGAGGTGGGGAGAAGCAGTGGAGGGAACGGCACAGCTGGGAGCAGCTGGATGGCCTGGCACGGTACGACCCGACGTGTCTTGGCACGGGTGCCCTGCTGTGCCAGAGCGGGTCAGTACCCACTTGCCACTGGGTGATGGGGGATCCTGTCCCCATGGGCCCTGTGCCCATCGGGACCCCTGCCCGCTCCTCATCTGCCTGCACAGCTTCCATAGCTCCGTGCCCCGCTGTGCCCACCCCACGTGCCCTACGGAGCTGTGCCAGCCCCGGGGGCTCAGGGGCATCCCGGAGAACCGGCCCTTCCTCGGGAAGCGGGGAGACGCGTCTGCCCGTGTGCGCACGGCCAGCGGGACCCCCCGGTCCCGAGGTGACGCGTGTCCGTCGCGCTGCCACATTCGAGGCGACTAAGAACTAATAACCGGTAGCCAACAGCAGCGATCGGCACCGGGGCTGCGGGACCGGGGGCTGCGGATGTGGGAGATGCGGCACCGGGGCTGCGGGGCGCGTGGCCATGTCCCGGGAGGAGCCCCGGTGGTGCCGGTGCCGTGCCGGGTCGGTCCCGGTGCCGCCCGCGCCGCCACAAAGGGGCCGCGCCGCTTTAAGGGCCGCGCGGGGCCCGCCGCCAGGCCCCGCCCCCCC